TGCATTACTTAGCAATTTTGCAATCACGAAAACAAGCCGTTCAACTCCTAACAACATTGTGGAATTCATTTGCTTTCTGCTTGCGTACTAGAAAGGCTGAATGTAACTAAATGTATTGAGTCATAGCCTGCAGATATGTTAAAGCAGGCATGGTTAAACTTGGGCTCTCCAGGTGTTTTGGACTCCAACTCCCACAATTCCTAACAGTCTCAGGCCCCTTCCTTTTCCCCCTCAGCCGCTTAAGCCGAGGGGGAAAAGGAAAGGGCCTGAGACTGTTAGGAATTGTGGGAGTTGGAGTCCAAAACACCTGGAGAGCCCAAGTTTAACCGTGCCTGTCTTAGAACATTGATAAACATCTTCAACATGTTAAACTCCATGGGATGAAGGGGGGTCCTGCCTAATTGAGCTAAAGTTGGTTATGACAGTGGTTCTCAACCTTCCTAATGCCGCAACCCCTTAATAAAGTTCCTCATATTGTGGTGACCCCCAACCATAAAATTATTTGTGTTGCTACTTCATAACTGTAATTTTCTTACTGTTATGAATTGTAATGTAAATATCTGATATGCAGGATGTATTTCCATTCCACTGGACCAAATATGAGACAAATACCCAATATGCCCAGTTGTGAATACTGGTGGGGTTGGGGATTGATTTTGTCCTTTGGGAGTTGTAGTTGCTGGGATTTATAGTTCACCTACACTCAAAGAGCATTCTGAACCTCACCAACGATAGAATTGGGCCAAACTTCCCACACAGAACTCCCATGACCAAGAGAAAACACTGGAAGGTTTTGAAGGGCATTGACCTTGAGTTTTGGAGTTGTAGTTCACCTACATCCAGGGAGCATTGCGGACTCAAAACATGATGGATCTGAACCAATTTGGCACGAATATTCAATATGCCCAAATGTGAACACTCATGGAGTTTGGGGGAAATAGACTTTGACATTTGGAAGTTATGGTTGCTGGGATTTCTAGTTCACCTACAATTAAAGAGCATTCCGAATCTCACCAACGATAGAATTGGGCCAAACTTCCCACACAGAAATCCTAGGACCATCAGGAAATACTGTGTTTTCTGATGGTCTTTGGCGACTCCTCTGACACCCCCTCGCGACCCTTCCAGGGGTCCCGACCCCCAGGTTGAGAAACGCTGGGTTATGAGAACTGTCCTATTGTGACGATGCACTTTAGGATGAACCAGTGGGAAATCCACACAGGCCATTCTTCCCAATTGCCTGTGACGACGCTCCATTCTCCTGCCACACACAATGTGTTTAGCATCACCGGTGACCTTTCGTGATGCAACGATGCATGGTGATGCATCTAAAATTACTATAGTGGATTTAACTCTTACTGGGGTCTTTTTTTCTAAGTGCCCTTCCAAACAGCCCTATATCCCAGAATATCAAGGCAGAAAATCCCAGATTATCCGAATGTGGACTCAGACAACCCAGTTCAATGCAGATATTGTGGGATTTCCTGCCTTGATATTCTGGGATATAGGGCTGTGCGGAAGGGCCCTTAGAGACAGAGGGAGCATGTTACTTTTGCTGTTTTGTATTTATTTTATTGCAATTGTATTATCAGGCTTGGCCTCATGTAAGCCACCCTGAGTCCCCTTTGGAGAGATGGTGGCGGGGTATAAATTCAAGAGAGATATTGACAAGCTGGAATGTGTCCAGAGGATGGCGACTAAAATGATCAAGGGTCTGGAGAACAAGCCCTATGAGGAGCGGCTTAAGGAGCTGGGCATGTTTAGCCTGAAGAAGAGAAGGCTGAGAGGAGATATGATAGCCATGTATAAATATGTGAGAGGAAGCCACAGGGAGGAGGGAGCGAGCTTGTTTTCTGCTTCCTGGAGACTAGGACGCGGAACAATGGCTTCAAACTACAAGAGAGGAGATTCCATCTGAACATGAGGAAGAACTTCCTGACTGTGAGAGCCGTTCAGCAGTGGAACTCTCTGCCCGGAAGTGTGGTGGAGGCTCCTCCTATGGAAGCTTTTAAACAGAGGCTGGATGGCCATCTGTCAGGGGTGATTTGAATGCAATATTCCTGCTTCTTGGCAGGGGTTGGACTGGATGGCCCATGAGGTCTCTTCCAACTCTTTGATTCTATGATTCTATTCCATGAAATGAAGATTATTATTATTATTATTATTATTATTATTATTATTAGCCATCCCCTGCTGTGGCCCACATGGGGGTTCTGTGTGGGAGATTTGGTCCAATTCTACCATTGGTGGGGTTCAGAATGCTTTGTGATTGTAGGTGAACTATAATCCCAGCAACTACAACTCCCAACGTCAAGATTCTATTTTCCCCAAACTCCACCAGTGTTCACATTTGGGCATATTGAGTACTCTTATAGAGTTTGATCCAGATTCATCATTGTTTGAGTCCACAGTGATCTCTGGATGTAGGTGAACTACAACTCCAAAACCAAATGACACTGCCCACCAAACCCTTCCAGTATTTTCTGTTGGTCATGGGAGAACCCTGTGCCAAGTTTGATTCAGTTCCATCATTGGTGGGGTTCAGAATGTTCTTTGATTGAGGTGATCTATAAATCCCAGCAACTACAACTCCCAAATGACAAAATCAATTTTTTTTTGGAGTGAAAGACATACATTGGGTTGTTAGGTGTCTTATGTCCAAATTTGGTGTCAATTCCTCCAGTGGTTTTAGAGTTCTGTTAATCCCACAAACGAACATTACATTTTTATTTATATAGATTATTATTATTATTATTATTATTATTATTATTATTATTATTATTATTAAAGAGAAATGTCTCATGCCTGTCAAACACCATTCATTCTCATTCATCCCCTCATGTTTGAAGGAGTTTCCCTAGAACCATCACCACCACCTTTGGATTGCTTGCTCCATAATCCTTCACTGTTAGCTAGGGATGATAGGAGTTGTTGACCAACCAAAAAAAAAACAAAACAAAAAACAAGACCTGGAGGCCGAAACTGAAGCAGTATGGATTGGCTCAGTCAAGGGAGCATGCTCGCTCCATCCATGTTTAACATTTACACAAATGATCACCCACTGCCAGAAGGGACAAAGAATTTCATCTATGCTGACGATCATGCCATCACCGCCCAAGCAGGGAGCTTTGAAATGGGTGAACAGAAGCTCTCCAAAGATTTAGGTGTGTGTGTATATACACATATGATCAGCTTCTGACAGAAGGGGCATATAGTTTCATCTATGCTGATGATTGTGCCATCACCACCCAAGCAGGAAGTTTTGATATGGGTGAAGAGAAGCTCTCCAAAGCTTTAGGTGTGTGTGTATATACACATATGATCAGCTTCTGACAGAAGGGGCATATCGTTTCATCTATGCTGATGATTGTGCCATCACCACCCAAGCAGGGAGTTTTGAAATGGGTGAAGAGAAGCTCTCCAAAGCTTTAGGTGTGTGTGTATATACACATATGATCAGCCTCTGACAGAAGGGGCATATAGTTTCATCTATGCTGATGATTGTGCCATCACCACCCAAGCAGGAAGTTTTGAAATGGGTGAAGAGAAGCTCTCCAAAGCTTTAGGTGTGTGTGTATATACACATATGATCAGCTTCTGACAGAAGGGGCATATAGTTTCATCTATGCTGATGATTGTGCCATCACCACCCAAGCAGGAAGTTTTGATATGGGTGAAGAGAAGCTCTCCAAAGCTTTAGGTGTGTGTGTATATACACATATGATCAGCTTCTGACAGAAGGGGCATATCGTTTCATCTATGCTGATGATTGTGCCATCACCACCCAAGCAGGGAGTTTTGAAATGGGTGAAGAGAAGCTCTCCAAAGCTTTAGGTGTGTGTGTATATACACATATGATCAGCCTCTGACAGAAGGGGCATATAGTTTCATCTATGCTGATGATTGGGCCATCACCACCCAAGCAGGAAGTTTTGAAATGGGTGAAGAGAAGCTCTCCAAAGCTTCAGATGTGTGTTTGTATATACACATGTGATCAGCTTCTGACAGAAGGGACATATACTTTCCTCTATGCTGATGATTGTGCCATCACCACCCAAGCAGGAAGTTTTGAAATGGGTGAAGAGAAGCTCTCCAAAGTTTTAGGTATGTGTGTATATACACATATGATCAGCTTCTGACAGAAGGGGCATATAGTTTCATCTATGCTGATGATTGTGCCATCACCACCCAAGCAGGAAGTTTTGATATGGGTGAAGAGAAGCTCTCCAAAGCTTTAGGTGTGTGTGTATATACACATATGATCAGCTTCTGACAGAAGGGGCATATCGTTTCATCTATGCTGATGATTGTGCCATCACCACCCAAGCAGGGAGTTTTGAAATGGGTGAAGAGAAGCTCTCCAAAGCTTTAGGTGTGTGTGTATATACACATATGATCAGCTTCTGACAGAACGGGCATATAGTTTCATCTATGCTGATGATTGTGCCATCACCACCCAAGCAGGAAGTTTTGAAATGGGTGAAGAGAAGCTCTCCAAAGCTTTAGGTGTGTGTGTATATACACATATGATCAGTCTCTGACAGAAGGGACATATAGTTTCATCTATGCTGGTGATCGTGCCATCACCACCCAAGCAGGGAGTTTTGAAATGGTGGAACAGAAGCTCTTCAAAGCTTCAGATGTGTACACACACACACACACACATGTATGTGTGTGTATATATCTATATCTATCTATCTATCTATCTATCTATCTATCTATCTATCTATATATATATATATCTACACACACACATACACGACCACACACACACATACAGTGGCCTCTTTCTTTCATTTCCATATCAGATATGTAACTACATATGGTTAAGACAAATGATCCCCAACATGATCCCCTTAGTAAGAAATATAATACAAAGACTACAGAAACATTCCTTCAATTCAGCCTTTGTTTACATTCACAGAAAGGATAAGCCTGTTAAAAGAACTCACAAGAGATGAGATATTTCATCTGGCAGTAATGGAGGCTGAGCACTGTACCTGTAGATTCATAATCTGTAGTGTTCCATTGTCCAAAAGGCTAATTCTTGGGTCACTGCCCACAATCCGTTCGCCATCTTTCAGCCACTGAATGCTGGGCAGAGGATTCCCATTCACATGACATTGGAGTTGCGCTGTAGAATCTACGGCAAGCGTCTGATTGGTTGGTCCACGGCGGATGATTGGTGGGATACGGTCGGATGTCACTTTAGGCAAGACAGGGACAAATAGTACAAAATGGGTGTATAATTAATTAACTGAATTACAACTAACTGTACTGAAATACATACAGGCACTAATCACAGATAGCAATTGGAATTCGGGTATAGAAGAATGTTAAAACAGTTTTAAAGGGTGGGGAAACAGTACATATAAATATCATTAACATATTTAAAAACACTGTCAGATTGTTATTGTACTTATCTGCTTTGTTATTAATTACTGTTGATACATGCGTATAACTTGACCTCATGTGTAAGTCAAGGGAAGGTTTAGGGGCCAAAATTATGGATGATGATATGACCCAAATACAAGGCGAGGGAGATTTTGCAAAGAGGTCAGCGACTTCTATTGCATTTTTCCACCAAGGTATCCAAAATGTCCAGAAGCACAGCCACAGCAGAGAGAGCAGAATGGGTCAATGCTTTTTAAAAGTTGGGTTATTGTAAAAACATTTGGGCTGTATGGCCATGTTCCAGAAGCATTCTCTCCTGACGTTTTGCCTGCATCTATGGCAGGCATCCTCACAACCTCTGGAAGGTGAAATGTCAGGAGAGAATGCTTCTTGAACATAGCTGTACAGCCCGAACTTACAACCCAGTGATTCCGGCCATTAAAGTCTTAGACAATACTTTTAAAAAGTTCTTCTGAGACCAACTAAGCCAGTGTTTCTCAACCTTCCTAATGCCGCGACCCCTTACTCCAGTTCCTCATTTTGTGGTGACCCCCAACCATAAAATTATTTTTGTTGCTACTTCATAACTGTAATTTTGCTACTGTTATGAATTGTAATGTAAATATCTGCTATGCGGGATGTATTTTCATTCACTGGGCCAAATTTGGCACAAATACCCAATACACCCACATTTTAATACTCATGGGGTTGGGGGGGAGGATTGATTTTTTTGATTTGAAAGTTGTAGTTGCTGGGATATATTATAGTTAACCTACAATCAGAGCATTCTGAATTCCACCAGCAATGGAATTGAACCAAAGTTGGCACACAGAACTCCCATGACCAACAGAAAATACTGGAAAGGCTTGATGGGCATTAACTTTGAGTTTCGGAGTTGTAGTTCACCTACATCCAGAGAGCACTGTGGACTTAAACAATGATGGCTCTCGACCAACTTGCCATGGATACTCAATATGCCTAAATGTGAACACTGGTGGATTTTGGGGGAAATAGACCACCTTGACATTTGGGAGTTGTCGTTGCTAGGATTTATAGTTCACCTACAATCAAAGAGCATTCTGAACCCTACCAACGATAGAATTGGCCCAAACTTCCCACACAGAACCCCCATGACCAACAGAAAATACTGTGTCTTTGCTGACCCTTCTGACACCCCCTCGTGACCCTCCCAAGGGTCCAGACCCCTAGATTGAGAACCACTGAACTAAGCTTTCATCTTTGACTACTCTGCCCAGAAAAGGGGTTGCTTCCTTTCTGATAAGAATTAAGGTACACAAAAGCTGTAGATATGTCTACCTACGTTTTGTGGGTCAATTGTTTTCACTAAAAGTTCTAGACTGGTGCTTGAGTAAGTATACTTATTGGTTGTTGATTATTCCCCATATTTTTCCTCCAAAAAGTGCCTTCACATAGCAAAACATATGAACAGATATGTTGGTTTAGACCAGGCATGGGCAAACAAGCCAGTCAGCTCCTAACAACATTGTGGAATTTATTTGCTTTCTATTTGCGCACTAGAAAGGGTGAATTTAACTAAATATATTGAGTCATAGTCTGCAGATATGTTACAGCAGGCATGGACATACCTTGGATCCTCCAGGTGTTTTGGACTCCAACTCCCACAATTCCTAACAGCCTTAGGCCCCTTTCTTTTTCCCCTCAGCCGCTTAATTGTGGGAGATGGAGTCCAAAACATCTGGAGGGCCCAAGTGTACCTATGCCTGGTTTAGACTAAAAAGTTTTCTGGCTCTACAGTCTGCTAACACTGCACCAAATCAGTCACTTAGAAGCAGGACAAGACCACATCCACAGGGTTGTAGATCTTAGAAAACTATGTCTAGATTTAAGTCGTTGGCGTGCTGGCTGATACCCAAACAGGGAATGAGCTGGAGATGTCTCTGCCTTGGTCCTTTCACTATTGGCTGCTACTTCCCGGCAGATGTCAGGTGGTGCAATACCGGCTAAGCAGTGTAATTCCTCCAGTGGTGTAGGGCGCAGACACCCCGTGATAATGCGGCATGTCTCATTAAGAGCACATCCACTGTTTTAGTATGGTGAGATGTGTTCCACACTGGGCATGCATACTCAGCAGCAGAGTAGCACAGCGCAAGGGCAGATGTCTTCACTGTATCTGGTTGTGATCCCCAAGTTGTGCCAGTCAGCTTTCGTATGATATTGTTTCTAGCACCCACTTTTTGCTTGATGTTCAGGCAGTGCTTCTTGTAGGTAAGAGCACAGAGACACTCGCTGGAACACCTCAGCAAGCGAGAGTCCAAAAGTGGCAGGCTCAAACCCAGCGCTTCAACCAATGGCTGATACCAAATGAGAGACTCCCTCCTGGGCACACAGAAGACTGGGTGACTTGGAAGGCATTGAACAGACTGCGCTCTGGCACCACGAGATGCAGAGCCAACCTTCAGAAATGGGGTTACAAAGTAGAATCCTCAACATGCGAGTGTGGAGAAGAGCAAACCTCTGACCACTTGCTGCAATGCAACCTGAGTCCTGCCACATGCACGATGGAAGACCTTCTTGCAGCAACACCGGAAGCACTCCAAGTGGCCAGATACTGGTCAAAGGACATTTAACCAGCTACCAAACTCAAAAGTTGTGTATTTTTCTGTTTGTTTGCTTTGTTATGTTAGAAATGTAATATAATGGACTGGCTGCTCTGACACGACAAATAAATACAGGGTTGTAAACCCCCCATACAAGTCCTCAATGACTAACATGCAGAGGGATGCTCCCTGATGCCCTTAATATTATCATGGCCACAGAGTGAGGGAGATGAGGCCAAGATGGCACAGTTAGTCCATGGCTGTACCAGTGGGATTCATGGAATAGGACAGATCTGACATTCCCTTCAATGTCACCAACCTCCCTCCTGCAGTCTAACACTCAGTTCAATATAACACCCTCAGTTGTTCAGATGAAATACACTGTTCAATGAAATTGTACATTGTAGATGTGTAAAGAAAAAACCCAAAACCAAACCCCACCATGTGGAAGCAGAGCTCTAAATGGGGATCATTCCCTTATTTATTTATTTCTTTGTCATGGGAGCTTGTTGCTTCCACATTCTGTTGCTCATGATGAATACACCACAAGTATGAGTATTGTGTTTGCATGAGGCAATCTCTGAACATGTCAAAACACAGTTGTGAGCACGCAGACATTGATCAAAACCCAAGGAAAGCTCCTTCCAGGCCCCTTCCACACAGCTGAATAAAATCCCACATTATCTGCTTTGAACTGGGATATATGGCAGTGTGGAGTTAGGTATTCCAGTTCTAAGCAGATATTGTGGGTTATTCTGCCTTGATATTCTGGGTTATATGGCTGTGTATCAGGTTCGATTCTGGGGAGTGGTGTGAGCTTCCGCCGTCAGCCCTAGCTTCTGCCAACCTAGCTGTTCGAAAACATGCAAACGTGAGTAGATCAATAGGTACCAGCGCTCCATGCAGTCATGCTGGCCACATGACCTTGGAGGTGTCTACGGACAACGCCAGCTCTTCGGCTTAGAAATGGAGATGAGCACCACACCCCAGAATCGGACATGACTGGACTTAATGTCAGGGGACAACCTTTACTTATTTATTTATTTTTATTTACAGCTTTTATATTCCGCCCTTCTCACCCCGCAGGGGACTCAGGGCAGATTACAGTGTACACATATATGGCAAACATTCAATGCCAATTTTGACATACAAACATATACAGACATACACAGAGGCTATTTAACTTTTTTTTCTGGCCGCCAGGGGAGCTGTCGCTTTCATCGTCCATCTGCGACGCTGATGAAGCACTTCCGCATTCCCCGCATGCTTTGCTGGAGTCTTCTTTATGGCCTCATAAATCAGTTAATTTAGCCTCCCCACACTTTAAGGTGGTACCTTATTTTCCTCCTTGATAGATGCAACTGTCTTTCGGGTTGCAAAGGTCGACAACAGGCTACACACAATTGGTTGGAAACCCACTCCAACCCGGGCTGGCTTGGAGTGGGTTTCCAACCAATTGTGTGTAGCCTGTGTAGAAGCCATATAAATTCCCTTCTTAAATGGGAATTCTCTCCCAGTTTTCTATCAGTTTTTCACTTTCCCTCTCATTTATTTCTACCTATGGCAAGATTCACTGCATGAGAAGGCCTTATGCCAACCCTGTGGAGCTTCCTAACCATCCTCCACATCTTTTTCCACCGTTGGTGCCTTAACAAGCTCACGAACGAAGAGTACCATCACCTTCAGGGTTTTGTTATCTCCTTTGTCATCTCCTTCTGGACAAATAGACAAAGGGTTATTATGGCTATGTTTATTTACACCCCACTTTCTCTCTCCAAAAGGTTCACAAAAGGTTCAAAGCAGTTCATGAACAACAACTCCCACAATTCTTCTTATAAAATCATAGAATCAAAGAGTTGGAAGAGACCTCATGGGCCATCCAGTCCAACCCCCTGCCAAGAAGCAGGAACACTGCATTCAAATCACCCCTGACAGATGGCCATCCAGCTTTTAAAAGCTTCCAAAGAAGGAGCCTCCACCACATTCCGGGGCAGAGAGTTCCACTGCTGAACGGCTCTAACAGTCAGGAAGTTCTTCCTCTTGTTCAGATGGAATCTCCTCTCTTGTAGTTTGAAGCCATTGTTCCATTGCGTCCTAGTCTCCAGGGAAGCAGAAAAACAAGCTTGCTCCCTCCTCCTCCCTGTGGCTTCCTCTCACATATTTATACATGGCTATCATGTCTCCTCTCAGCCTTCTCTTCTTCAGGCTAAACATGCCCAGCTCCTTAAGCCGC